CATGTGCTGGACTTCCGAATCCGGTGTGACGAAGCAACAGCAAGTGAGATGGTTTTGATGGAATGCTGTGGAATTGTTCATGTCGAAATTCCATAGTGGACAGGCGAGCTCAGCTGTCGTTGGCTGTGCTGTGCGCGGGAGCGCCGTGATGCTCGATCTCGATCCAGCCGCCGCGCCTGGTAAGCCTAACCTTCTCGCCAATCCCTGCACTCGCTTCGCGCACACTGCGGTGCGTGTGCTGTCCGTGCTCGTCTTCGGCAGCGATGGACACGTGGGCGGTGCCTGCGCGCGCGGGACACGGCAGCGCGGTGGACGCAGAGACGGATACGGTGAGGATGGCGGCGCAGAAGGTGGCGACGAAGGCAGACGAGGTGAGGAAGCGGCGGGTCGACGCGCGGTGTGGCGTGAGCGCTGCAAGCAGCGCCGATCCAAAGGTGGAGGAGGAGGAAGAAGAAAACATGCTTTCTTGGGGTTACTGGGATTGCTGGTGCGGGGGGTGTGGGAGGAAGTGCAGCCTACAAGCCCTGCTTGCACGGACGCCTATCTACACGTCACCGCCGCTGCCGTCTTTGTCGTGCGTGATGGCGCTGCTGCTAGCTGGTGGTAACGGAGTGAGCGCAGAGGAGCCCCCTGCAAGGAGATAACCAACGTGCCTAGCACGATGCTGCTATGCCCAAGTGCACACGGGAGAAGAGAAAGAGGAAAGGAAGGATGGAAGATTGCAGTCATCCAGGTCGTGCCTGCTGGAGGTCTCCGAAGGAAAGAAACGAGAAAAAATAACCCTAACCGCGGTTTCGATGCCCAACAATAACCCTACTTGTTGGTGTTCCAATCACATACTGAGTTCCGTGTTCCGCGTTTACTGATGGCGCCATCAACTCCACGGAGATAAGCGAGCAAGCAAGCGCACGATAGACGCTTCCTCCGCATAGAAAGAGCAGAGCTAGACGACCCCGATGTTGCTCGCTCCCCCACTCACTCCTCATCGTGTCGTCGACGACAACGTAGTAGGGGTAGGTAGGTACTCTTCAGCAAGCGCAGCCATCGTCAGAGTGAGTGCAGCTCGGCTGCCGCCTAGAAGTACAGCAAGTGGAGTGCGTGTTCCACGCGATAAGCAGCTGCGACGGTCACGGTGGCGGATAGCTAACCCTCCTCCTTCTCAGCAGTCACCATGCCGGCCACCACCCTGTCGGGCAGCGCCAGCGCCTTTGCCTTTGCAGGCGGACTCGCCGTTGGCGTCGGATCCGTCTACGCCCTCAGCCGCACCTCCTTTGCCCCCGCGACCAAAGTGTCCAAGTCGACCAAGGACAAGCTCGCCAAGGCCACCCGCAGCAGAAGCACGAAGGATAGTCCCGCTGACACCCTCCACATTGTTCCACTCGGCGAGAAGCTCGATGCAGTCGACTCCAAAGTCAGCGGCCCCGCAGCAGCGGGCAACGATCACAAATCACACCAGGCTATCACCGCGGTCCTCGGCGATGTAGCCAACAAAGCGGGCCACGACATCGCGCGCCTGCAGCCAGTGCTCAACACGCTCGCGCGCGCCAAGCACGTGCAGACCAAGATGAACCTCGCCAAGCAGCTTACTACAGCAGAATCTCCTTCGTCGTCGCCACCCGCCTGGCTGACCGGCCTGGAACACTCAACCAGCGCGCTCGCCGCGACGGCCAACGGGCAGATCGAGCAGGCCATCTACCGCAGCTCGGACGCCGTCTTCGTCTACGAGTCCGCCACCAACGCTGGCCGGCTCGGTGCGTGGATCGAGCAGCAGGCCGCCGATGCGCGCCACCGCAAATGGCCTGCCGGACAGGGCACCGGCCGCCCGCAGGTGTTCAGCATGCAAACGCGCGCCGGCGCATCCGCCGCCATACTCGGCTACCTCCGCGGCAGCGCCGATGGCAGCGGTGGCAGCAGCGGGGTCGGCGAGGCAAGCACGTTCGCGCCCCCGGAATGGCAGATGCCGCGCACCGGCAACGTCGTCAGCGCACTCACCGACGCGGCCGGTTTGCTAGCTGCCGCGCCGGCGCTGTCGCTCGCGCCCGAGCACGCGTCCGACCGCATCATCCTACACGTCTCAGGCTCATCCCAGACGCCGATTCTCAGCAGCGCTGATTCCGACGCCGGAAACCTAAGCGTGTACGACGACTCCCACGCCGTCCTCGCCGCGGCCGACGCCCTCGGCCACAACGCCAACTTTGCCGTCGTCCTGTCCGCCGACCGCCAGGAGGCGGTCGACGTCGCGGTTGCGTCGTACGCCGCGGAGCGCGGGCACGTTGTGCACATCTTTGACGCTGCTTCCGCCGGCCGGCACGTTGCCGCCGGCCTGCAGCCATCGCCTGCCGTCGCCGCGCTCGGCGCAAAGCAAGAGGGAACGTCCATCGTCGCCGCTCTGCACCGCGCCGGCCTCGGCGCGTTCCGTTACGTCGGTCCCGATGCGCCAAACACCCTGCTTGTCGTGCCCAACACGCAGCTCGCCGCCGCCGCGCGCGCCGTGCACGCCGCCCTCCCCACCGCGCAGCACGCCGCCATCGGTGTCCTCGCGGTGCGCGTTGTGCGGCCGTGGAGTGACGCCGCGCTCCGCGAGGCGGTTCCCGCGTCCGTGCGCACGATCCACGTGCTCGAAGAGACGCACGGCGCCGCCGGCAACGGTACGCTTTTCCAGGACGTCGTGGGATCCATCTTTGCGAACCCGCAGCAGCGCGCCGAGCGCATCCAGGTGCGCCCCATCGCCAAGCCGGTCGGCGCGCGCGTCACTGCTGAGCAGTGGTTTGCGCTGTTCAGCTTGCTCAGCGACAGCGGTAGTGGCAAGGCGGCTTCTAGCGCCGCCATCTCATGGGAGCAGGTCAAGGCTGCCGCGGCCACTGCCATCGACGCCGCCGATCTGCTCGCAGGCGAGCCCGGCGCGCCGCGGCTCGCTGCCGCGTTCGACACCGATGCGTCCGCGACGAGCTACACGGGCCGTCTCGTTTCGCGCTTCTTCAATGACCGCGGCGTGCGCGATGGCGCCATTGACTGCGCCCTCCTCGAGCGCTTCGACAACTTCACGGCCGGCGGTGTCGTCCGCGACGACCTGCTGCTCAGCGTCAACGCCCCCGCCCCTAGCTTGAACGTCCCCGCCGAGCTCATCGCGGACCAGGGTGCAGCGACTCTCATTGTTGGCGACGCCGCCAACCTGCTCAAGGCCGTCGACGTCTTTGCAAACGTCAAGCGTGGCGGCACCGTCCTCATCGACAGCCTCGGCTGGACCCCGGCCGAGCTGAACGCCAAGCTGCGCGCAGCCGACAAGCGCACGCTTGCCACCAAGAACGCTCGCCTCTACCTCGTCGACACGGCCGCCGTCGTGCAGCAGCTGCAGGACGCCGCGGACAAGGCCGCGGGCGGCAAGGCCAAGGCCATCACGATTGACCGCGAAGTTGCCGCCGCCGTGCTCGCTGTTGCGTTCCTGCGTGTGCACTTCAACACGTCCGGCAGCACGCTCATTGGCCTCATTCGCAAGGTCCTCGGCACCGCCCCGCTTGGAGTTGCCGCCGGCGGTCTCGACGCGCTCGTCAACCTGACCGAGCGCAGCGTTCAGCTGTTCAATTTTAGCAACGACGACTGGGCCGCCGCTGAGCCCATCTCGGACACCGAGGCAAATGCGCCGCTGCGGCCCGCACATATCACATTCAACAACTACGCGCGCGGCCTCCCCGCTGATGTCCTCGCGCTCGAGCCGCAGCCCGCCAAGGGAACGTGGGCGCTTTCCGCGTGGCAGGCGCTCTTCCCCGAAGCGTACGGCCTTGAGGAACAGGCACTGCGCCCGGATCTACACGAGAAGACATGGGTCGTCACCATCACGGAGAATAGGCGCCTCACACCGCTCAACTACGATCGCAACGTCTTCCACATGGAGCTCAGCACGGAAGGCACCGATCTCAAGTACGAAGTCGGCGAGGCGCTCGGCATCCACGGCTGGAACGACGAGAAGGAAGTGCTCGAGTTCATCGCGTGGAGCAGCTACAACCCGGACGAAGTCGTCTCGGTTCCCAGCGCGACGGACGCCAGCAAGTACGAGACTCGCACCGTCTTCCAAGTTCTGCAGCAGAAGCTTGACATCTTTGGCAAGCCGGGCAAGAAGTTCTACGAGGCACTCTCCAAGCTCGCAGCCAACCCGGACGAAGCCAGGTGGCTCCGCTTCATCTCGTCTGCCGAGGGCTCGAGTACGTTCAAGAAGCTCTCGGAGATCGAGACCGTCACATACGCGGATGTGCTCAAGATGTTCCCGTCTGCACGCCTGTCGTTCGAGAAGCTGATGCTCGAAGTCGAGGAGATCAAGCCGAGGCACTACTCGATCGCAAGCGCACAGGCCGCCGTCGGCAACAGCGTCCACCTGCTCATCGTCACCGTCGACTGGAAGACGCCATCGGGTAGCCCACGCTACGGCCAGTGCACGCGCTATCTCGCCAACCTCCACGTCGGCGCCAAGGTCACCGTCTCGCTCAAGCCATCCGTGATGAAGCTCCCGCCGAACGACGAGCAGCCGATCATCATGGCAGGCCTTGGTACTGGTGCCGCTCCGTTCCGTGCGTTCATCCAGGCGCGCGCGCTCCAGCGTGCCCAGGGCAAGAAGGCCGGCCCGCTAGTCTACTACTTTGGCTCGCGCTACCGTTCCTCCGAGTACCTCTATGGTGAGGAGCTGGAAGCGTACACGCAGGATGGCGTCGTCTCGCGCCTTGGCCTCGCTTTCTCACGTGATCAGAAGCACAAGATCTACATCCAGGATCGTATGAAGGAGGACGGCGAACTACTGGCCAGCTACCTCGCGCCCGAGCTTGACGCGCTCCGCAAGGCTGGCGGCGAAGCGCAAATCATTGTTGACGACCTCACGAGGAATGTGGATCCGACGCACCCCTCCGCTGGTTACTTTTACCTATGCGGTCCTACCTGGCCCGTTCCAGACGCTACGGAAGCTATCCTTAACTCTTTCCAGGCCCGTGGACTGTCGAAAGAACAGGCCGAACAGCGTCTGGAAAAGTTGAAGGAGGAGGAACGCTTTGTGCTTGAGGTGAGCGGCCTTTGATCGCACGAGATGACTCTGTTACTTTTGTGATGACGACTGACACTCTTTCCTTTCCCAGGTCTACTGAGCACAATTCACAAACGCCCCAGTTCCTACCAAAATATCGTTTCAAACAGCTAGAATAGAGTCAGCGTCCCGTTGTACGCGTCGCGGGTATAGATAGATTTGGAAGAATGATCTTTTGATTCTTTTGCTCGTTCGGAGGACGACACCATGAACTCGGAAGGGGATGGACAGAAGCGATGTGAGAAGCCCTAGAAATACAAAGGCAAGTCCGGAAATCCAATGGCCCTGTACAAGCAGCTGAGGGAATGCTATCGCAGTGTAGATGCTCGACGGTCTTTTCGATCGTAGCGGCGATTGATACCTGCACAGTGAGACGGAGTACATCGAGGACAGAGAATCAGCTTCAAGTTACAGAGCGTAAAAGAATTATGGCAGGTCAAAAGCACGACTCACCCCCCAGTAACGCTTTGGTGATGAGCTCTGTGTTGAGGGCCATGCCAGAGTAAGGAGTGGTATCGACAATATCTCTGACACCACCGTTTTGATGAATGGCATCGTCCACTGACGGATGGAAAATATTGTGTTGGAGTCAGCTTCAATTAGAATGAGCACAAGAGTCTCGCAAAGAAGCACTTACATTCTCGTAGCGCTTCGGTCGCCTCCGGATCATCGCCGCATTGGATGAAGCTCTGGATGCGCAAAGCAGAGGCGGTCTGCGGTCAGGTCACCATATTCGCTCTGTGCTTGTTCGACTTTGGGCTCCTCCGAAAACTCACAAAGCCGACTTGGCTGAGCGGAAACTTTCCCGCGTCCAGTCGCCTGGCTATGGAGATGATTACGGATTCGACATCATCGCTGCTTGCACCATCCGTGATGACGACGTAGTTTCTCTTCTTTGGCTCCTTCCCCTGTGCAAGTCCTGCTCCCTTCTTCTGTTTAAAATCCTCGATCTGATCGAGATATTCGAGCATCAAAATCTCGATCTTTGTGCCTGTAGGCGTAATTCCGTCAGGCACGATGGTGTCGAACAGACACTTGACCTCGTCCGGCCGGGTGCAATTGTGCAGTGACCTGTCAGAATTTAGGAAATGGACATCGATGCCATCTGCATCCTTTTGACTGGCGAGAAAGACGACGCCAGCGAGAGCATCTCTTGCTTCTTCCCAGCGGGAAGGCCCGCCTTGCTCTGGACTTAGTTGCATCGAGCCCGAATCGTCGACAATAACGATCGTGTCGAAATCCTTGAGCATGTCTAAAGGATCTTCGCCGGCGCGCATGCTGCTGTTGCTTCCTACTCTTCCTACGTTTCCCGCGCTATTCATGTTTGTCGCGTGGCTTGTCACACTCGATACCCTCTGGAGATCTGCCGAAGGGTACGGGTGTTGTTGCTGCGACCCTTGAGGCGGATAACTGTGCGGAGGATGGCCTTGAGGCAGATACCCTTGCATCGATTGTGGTTGCATGGCCGGGTAAGCCGCTTGCAGCTGGGCATTCGGTGAGCTGTTCATGTGCGACGAGAACGGGTTATAGCTGGCCGGATAGGAAGTGGATGTATGCGATGGCGGAGGGTTGTGAAGAGGAATGGGCGGCAGGCGTGCATCGCCACCCATTTGCGGGGGCGGGCCCGGCGGAGGTGCATACAACTGTTGCTGCTGCGGTCGCTGTTGAGCACTTGATGCGCTCGGCTGTGCGTACGGTTGGTACGGCGGAGGCGCATCCGACATCTTGGAAATCCTTGCCTCTGGCTCCCCTTGCGTCGGTTCCTGCTTGCGGGCGTCCAAGGCCTGGAGTTCAAGGTTGTTGCGCAAAGACGCAGCAGCGAATAAGGTCAAAGTCAAGGTGTAAAATCTGACTTCGGACTCTTGCTGCCGGTGGAAATGCTGATGCACCGCGAGTCGGATGGATGCTTGAGAGGAAGTCTCAGACAACGGTCGATGTTCGCGGCCGATGCTGGTTACCTACGTGGATCTGGAGGGTGGTGTATATATAGAGATATATGTGCGTTAGTTACTTCTCCGGCCGAGAGATGTGATCTGGCAGTCTCATTTCTGGGATCACCTCCGTCGGCGGAGCGCTGAGGCGGTGCTCCGAATACTAAAGCTGAGCTTTTACTGATGGATTCTAGCATCATCATGTACAGTCACATAATCTGTTTCCGGCTTCGACAAAACACAGCCCCTTGCTTGCCCGCAGCCCCTGCCTGTGCCTCTATCTCGCTCGAACTCGACAAGATGGACGCGGTAAACGCAAAGAGACAGCTCACCATCAAGACCGGCGTGGTCAAGCGGTGAGTCTTTCCAGTTCCCAAGTTTGCCCGATCGGCGCCACACTTCTCTCGCCACCTGGATCTGAGTCTCGATCATCTACCGGGCATTTCAGGCTGACAAAGGAAGAGAAAACATATGTCAAGGAGGCCGACGAGCAAAGACAACGCATCGATAAGTACATCGATGATGGCAAGGATGAGTGGCACATAAACAAGCAGGTTCGTCGTTCATCCTCCACCCTGGATACTCCAGCGCGCGCAGCCACGTTCTGAAAGCCACTGATGTGGACTATCTTTCATTTGTATCTGCGCTTGTGACGCCGCCCAATCACTCTAATGGCGCCATTCACAGAAAGAGGTTCTGCAAGATTGCCTTCGGATGATCCCAGACTCCCAACAGCGATTAGCGGCGGCCGTGGAAGACCTTGTGTCCTTGCTTGTGAGGACTCATACATTCGGGAATGCATCAGTCTGCGGCAGATCGGGACGATGAACATTTTCTTACCTCCTTTTTTGCGCCAACATCAAGCAAAGCCTGGCGGATGACGCAGACATTTCAAGTTCAGAAGCTGCGACTGCTGCGCGCGAGGCGATTGACGCTGCTGCTCGAGCAAAAGAGACATCATGATACACTTTTCATTTGTGAACAAAATGAATGATACCCATAGCACGGCTCGTATGCAAGCAGTGTTGAGCGGCGGGTCGTCAACACTGCGAGCCAGGTGTACCAGCAAAAACTGTTTTCTGAAAAGCATATCAACGCGCACGCGGAAATTACAAAAGTTGCCTCGAAGAACCTTTATAGACAAACAAGAACTACGGAAGAGCGTGCGGATGCTTGACAAATAATGGGGGCCTCCTAAATGGCAGCGGCTGCATGCCAAAGGAGGCTTTGCCGATACGTTCCACTTCAGTGATGGCCTACCGGGAACAGCTGCGCGCACGCAGATCATGTGACAAAGGTTCGAGATCGCGTCCGGTATGCATGTCGAGTGGTGACTGGCGATCAGCTGATCTGCCATGAGCAACGCCTTTGATATCGCCACTCGGACAGACGCATACATTGTAAGCAAGCGCAGAAACTGAGCGACGTAAGGAACCGCATCACATGGCGAGCTCGGCCTGCAAAGCCCGGAGCTCTGCATCGTCGTCGTCCTCGGTCATAGCCTGTTTCGCCAGCGGTTGTCGAGCAGCGCTGACTGCATTCGGCGTCGTGTGGATCGTTTGAGGAGTGTGTACTGGCACGGCATCGGCACCCACGAGCCGGTCGTTCAGCTCTTCTTGTTCTAGCTCTTCCAGCTCGTTCTTCAATTCGTCCTGAGGAAGAATTCGCAAGCGTTCGGAGGTGTGAGCATACATGTACACTCGAGCGATAAGCTTGTTTATTACGACGTACCTCGTCAATATCGTGGCCCATGCCAACGGGATTGGAGATTGCATCGGAGATCTCATTGGTGAGATCCATCTGTTCACGAATCGAGTCCATTGTCGAATCGACCTTATCAATATTACTGCCATTAAGGACGGGCGTACGTATCAAGTCAGCTACTGTCTGGAATGTAAATGTATTCGAGAAAAACACGCACAGACTTCCGTGAATGTGCTTGAGGGCGTCGGCACCTCTCCGCATCGCTTGCATTGTCTCGAGGTTCATGTTGGCACTCTCGATGGCGTTCACTTGTGTCTCGAGCGTCATTCGTGTCCCCGCGATCCGATCCAGCTCATTCTCGTACGCTTTCTTCTGCCGCAACGCATTTGCCGCTCCTACCCAAGCCAAGGAAAGCTAAGAATTCACGCTCTATGACCGAAGGTGCGCAGCCGATGGAGGTCGCTCACCTCGCTTATTTGTAGATACCATCGCTTTCGCCTTGTTCTGCTCCTCTAAGATCTTCTTGTTCAAGTACTGCTCCTTCTTATCCAGCATGCCAAGCTGCTCTCGCAGACCCACGATCGCATCTCGCGGTGCATTTTGATTTCGTCGGCTGCCGCCGAACCAGGCTCCCCAACCCGACATGATGGCCTAGGATAGTTGCTGTGATTCCGCGATGTGCGCGGGAATGCGGTGCAGCTCGTCGCAAAGCAGTATCTGAGGGCTTACTGGTTAGTCCTGATACCGATTTAAAGGAATTGATGTGATACCAGATCGGATCGATCGGTGAGTTGCACAGGAGATGAGTTGATGCGCACCCCGAACGCTCCCGCCCCTCCCGATCGTGTCAGAACTCGGACGGCGCCGTTTCAAAACTTGGATGAGCTTCTGCTAAGCGCAAAGCAAGGTGGGCGAATACTATATGCTTGAAATATTCGCTGCAAGCCGGATTGCTACTGAGTAGTAGCCTTCGTCAAGCTGGACCCAGGGAGTAATGAGGTAAGAGTGTGAGAGGCTTGGAGCTGAAGCGATGTTTGCGATGACACGCGACCGCGATTTGGCCAAGAGGATAAAAGCGATCCATGAGAGCGCGGATGGACAGAATAACCAGCCGCACAGTAAGTCTATAGTAGTCAATACTTCATCACGAGCAAGACATCTGCCTCATCAGTCAATCATCATAGACCAGCCTGCAATCCCTCATCCCAGGCTCATCAAAACACCTCACAATAACTTAGCCTCTTCACGACACTCAACCATCCTCTCACACATAGATCGTAGCCTCATCTAGGTCAGCGCAGCACTTTATTACAAGCTAAGAGCGCTGCAGCGCAGTATCTGCACCGTCCGACCACAACCCGTTGGCTGGTCAAAGACTCCTGTCTGGCTCCCTTTTTATATTAATCACTCTCCAGATGAACCCTGCTATCCGACCATGCTCGCAGTATTGCCCCAATTTCAAGAGAAGCAGAGACGGGCCTCTGCGAATTCGGTGCCCGTTGCCTCAACTTTGTATTCAAATACAGAGAAGCACCAGCGCTCCCTTGGCGGCGAGAAAGAGACGACGCCTTCAGAGCGTTCACAGCGCAATACCTCGCCAGACTTTCGCTGAACAATACCTCACCAGGGGAACGCCTGCGCACACCAAAGGTCTTGTTTCCGGCTCTTTTGCTTTAATCCATACTATTGGCCCATCACAGAGGCATGATGTCGCTTAAATGATGATGGAAGGTACACTCTGGACGAGATGCGGGACGAGGAGACGAATTCTTTAATGTACTTGTTGAGCTCAATGATGAAGGCAAATGGTGCCATAAAAAACTCGGAATGGGTTCGAATCGACATGCCTTTTGGAGGGCCTTGCGCTCATACATCCCTCCGCAAATACGGTACTTAACTGATACAATCTTCTTCCGATTGAACACAAGGCTACTCCTTGAAGTACTCATCAACGAGATGATACCGTGGCAAACAGGCCGGAATGGAGGCAGGAAGACAGTGTATATGGCACAGGATAATTTGCTGCCTCAGGCTCCGACGTTGATCGTGCAGTGTTCTAGGCTGTCGCACACAGTGGCGGAGCAACAAGTGCGAAGGAGCAATGACATTGCAACATATGGCTCGGGCCTGCTTCTCGCTTTACGCCGATGTATCCGGATTCATACCATAACCTTTTCGTACAAGGTGAGTACGCATAATACCTTGTCCTGCTTGCGAGCAGTCTAGCCCAGGGTAAGGGGTGTGCCCACGATGTTACAGTCGTTGAAAAGGAAAAGTACATGTTCCTCAGCCTGAATGCACCTCAATCTTGCGCATTCACGCGTCGGGGACCCAGACCAATACGAGCGAAATGGGGACAGAGCCGTTGTAGCGTTCACCCATCTGAAACAGCATGCAGACCGACATTTTCGAGGAAGCTCTGGTCCACCCTGACACGACACACGCAATACTCGAACACAGTGACTCGATCTACCTACCAATCGGATGGTTTCACCGCGTGAAGAGTCGGAGAACTTCCGCATCTGTCAAATTTTTGGTTTCGTTGACGTTGCATAACACCATATACATTCTGTCCACTACTTTCTAGCTGTCGCGTACGATTAGTTTTGAATTTGTGCTGGCGGCGCAAATCTGTCCCCTGATCGGCAACACTTGAAGATCAGGACAAGGCCTTGCCGATAGTCTCATCAACATTTGCCACCAGCTGCGTCTCGAGACGGTGAGGCAGGTGTGACACATCTGCGTACAGTGTAGGCTGTTCGTATCAGCGCACGCTTTCACATTGCATGCAAACTAGGTCGGGTGTTACTTACCCGACCATCGCACGATCGTTCCCTTTCCGGCCTCCGTGCTTGCCTTCAAGATTCGCAGTATCGCCGAAAAGCGCTTGCTGCGACGTGTGGTAGAGGGCAAAGAGGTGTGATTGACGTGAGAGGACCCGTTGATGGATCCACTGGGTCGGGAGGGATAGATGATTTCGGTGATGGAACAATTCGCGAATCTCCCCGGCTCGACACCGGACGCTACTACCGCGTGTTCTTCGCGTAAGAGTACTCCACTGTCAAAATGCATCCAAGTCAGCTACAGACGGAAAGATCCGTTCAGATGTACAACCATGGCAGAAAACGCACCCGAACAGGTTAGTCAGCGCTGACCCGTGACTGACTACCAGTACGGTCCGCGCATACTTGCAACCTTTGGTGTCTTCGGCCGGCGATGTTCCTTCACTTTCTTCAACCAGATGCTGGGGTACTGGGGGTTGAAACTTGGTGTGATCCAGCAACTGCACATCGGCTTGCTCCTTGCTTGCTTTACCGTCGTCAGCTCCTTGTATCGGCCATGGACCTGGATTTGAAAGAACGTCATTCCAAAAGGAAGCAAATCGTGCACAGACCCTGAAAGGAGAAAAGGTGTGCTCGTCGGCTCTGGGATGCCTGTTTCTGGTCACTCCCGTTGCTCACTCTTCCGCGCTCTCAGCGCCTTCTGGTTCTCCATGACGCCGACCAGCGCCCGGCTTGCCTTGTAACACACCGAGGTGTTGTTCCATCAGGCGGGCATCAGTGAACGTGCTAGTCACATTGTCAGAGTTGGAAAAGCTCTTGTTTTGCTTTATCACCGCCAGCGCGGTCTGTTGCAAATGCATTAAACGCCACCATAGAAAAGGCTACGATCAGGCTTCCATCTACTCCTTTCTGAATTGTAAGTCAGCTCTCACATCTCTTGCACGCTTCAGAGGACTCGAGTATACTTCATCTATCTTAGTGTTGGCCAGATGACGACCAGTGTAATATGCCTGTAGCCGCCCGGCCTCATTCAGATCTGTATCTAGCTGCCCCTGGATAATCCCTTAGCAGACAGCAAACATAAGTATAAACGGTCATAAGAGGCGGCTCTTGGCACACGGCCCTCACTTTGCCTGTTCTCTTCCGTCTCGCCATGCCGCATAAGCAGTATGCGGACTCCTTGGCAGCTCATTGTGAACCTTTACGTGTTCTCAGGGCCGCCACGCACTGTCGTTGATGGGGACGAAGTGATGTTCGTGATGGGGCTGACTGATATCAATGGACGGAGGTCTGTTGCTGAGGATGAACACGATCTAACGATGGCCCAAGGTCGAGGCTTATCACGCTGAGCGTGAGCAAATCAGTTATGGATGCTCAAGACACAGATACAAGTGCTTAGAGGGATGTAAGCAGGTTCAGATTGAACTTGCCATATTTCGGGCGCTTCTATTTAAATTTCAGTGGAACTGAGGCAATATTGGTTGATATTAGCCTCAACCATGATGTCAACCGTGTCACATTCGATAGGGCATGACAATTTGACCTGGATGACATTTAGATGAGGCGCCGGACGGCCCGATCCTTTGTTTTGGGCAATCACCGCTGACCCATCACCTTCGCGTGGAGTCTCGTTTATGCCCCAAATCTGGGCGCCTGAGCCTTGCCAATCGTGTCTAGCTACAGCATGGCCGCGATCCGATTCCATGGGCCCAACGGTGCTACATAAGCGCTGTCTGTCACCCGTCTGGAGATGACGCAAGAAGTGGCATCCCAAGTGGTCTCAATCACCGTGCGATGCTTCTTTGCCGGCACCACGGCTTCGAAGGTGGGTTGTAAGGGTCTCGTTTTAACGCCATTTTCATCGCTGATACGTTCGAGCCTGGCACTTTCTTGTTGGGCTTGTAGTGGTCGGAAATCTTGAAGCACCTTCGCGCGCGTAACGCTGCAGCAGACCAACGCACTAGCTCGTCCTCTGCCGTGACCATCGACGCCTGGGAGGCATCATTTGTTTCGGGTTCGTGTGCATGCCGCGCTTAATGAAGCTATATGCATCCTGTACAGCAAGGTAGCTGAAAAAGTAACCTTTGATATCTTTGCAGATTCTATATTACAACTGCTTCTAGACACCGAAGCGGCTTCCTGTGATGCGCTTGTTTCCTATGTGAAAGCTGCTTGTGAGGTTCAAGATGACCAGTCACCGCGCTCATCCACTGTGGTTGCGTCCGCGGCGAATGTAAACGGTGATCATGAGCCCTTGATGAGGCCTCGCGACTTCCTTCGCAGCTTCTTCCGACAACTCATTGGCGGAAACGGGGGTGCGATACTGCAAGCAATGTCGAGACTCGAGCCTCTTGCAATGACCATTCAAAGCGTGGGTCTTTGGCGACTTAATTCACCTCCTCATCCCATCGGAGTTACATATAGTGAAAGAATCAAGTCTGCGGACGACCTTATCAAAGTGCTGGACGAGGCAGCACGCTTCATCGATGCCTTGGGCATCTCAGTCCCAGCGGCCAGCGAGGCTACGATGTGCATGTTGGCCGACGTGATGGTTCCAGCGGTGCTGGCAGCTGTCTCCTCAAGCGACAAAGCGTGCATCGATCTTGATGAAAAAGTTAAGACCAAGCTGTCCCAACGTGTGCCTCCAATTTTGTTCGGAGTGCAACGTCTCGCTGCTTTGTTGCCAAGCGTGGCTCAGGTAGCGCTCGAGTTAGTCGCCCGATTCCAAGAGATTGTTGGTCGGATTGGTGGCGCACAAATGCCGTTCGATGCTCAGGTAGCCTCCCAAGAAAGTCCGAACCAGGTGGTCGGCTCCCGCTCTGCGTTGTCGACACTTTCCTGGAGGCGAGTTATGGAACTACCAGAGTCGAAGGAATCCTTGCAAACCATGCGATCACCGGATATCTGGCAACTGTCTGTTGTGCAGCCTGAGATTGCTATTCTGGTTACCAAAATTGTGAGTCTGTCGCCTCCCATTCCGGAATTGCTGCGACCTTTTTTTCTGACTTCTAGCACTTCCCAGGCCGAGCCGCGAGTACCGTGGCAGTCTAAACTCTCTCTCCTCCGAAATGTCTCGAAAGCCAGGCGGGGAGGTGAGTACGAAGATATTGGTGATCCAACCCAGTCTTTTTGGTTCGAAGTGCTACACGCAACAGCCATTGGCTGCGCGTACGCAAACGCCATACCAGCATCAACCGCAGGGTCCCGAAACGCCGTCGTATTATGGAGAGCAGCTTTGTGCAGCATAGTCCCGAGTGCCATGCGAGCATTCGCCGATAGTGATGAATCTCATCCGCAAGACTACAACCTTGTCGTGAAAGCACTCTTCCTGACAAGCGAAGGCGTTTTACAGGCATGTGGCGGACCAGAAGTAGCTAATGAGAAGTCCGCATCCCTCAGTGGTGATGCAGGTACGCACGAGGGCGACAATGCGAAGTAAGTTTCAAAACTGCTCAGATTGTTTGCTCTCCACTTACTTTCCCACTCCATTGAGATACAGTTTGAATTCGCGCGCGACCATACCGTCACTTCTGCTCAGGTCACTGATAGAGAAGAGGCTCATTAGCTCAGCTCTGGCTGCCGATGTAGTTATGGCTCGAGCTGCTGAGGTAGACTTGACGTCTTTGGGCACATCACTATCCGCGATGAGCTCTGCTCAAGGCTCTTCTGTACAAGTGAGAAAGGTTGACTACTTTTTCTGGAGCGACGCAGTGCTAACCAGATTGCATTTGCCTAGGCGCTCATTGAGCAGCGCTTGTCTGCGGACAATCCTCTGACCTTCTTCGACCAGATGCGATATGACTACGGCACGCAATGCTTGCAAGCAAAGCTTCTTGTCGAGCAGTTCACTGGTTGGATCAGTAGCAAAGATCTAGAAACTGCTGCAAACTGGTCTCGAATTCTGGTGGACCATTGTGCAACTCTCGACATCATTGTGTCTCACACATCACCGCAAGAGCTTTTCCGACCCGTATGTCAGTGGCTGAATGCCGATGGCCTGCTCAATCCTGGTGAGGAAGTTCGATGTGTCAATTACGAGGCTTTTGCTAAGCTCGGATTCTCGCAGCCGAGGAAAGCACATCTGTCGGTACTCTAATATTGTTCGCTCAACTACTCATCAAACGTTATCAGGTATGTGCATCGTACAGAGCACGCGTCTGAAGATGATCTCACACCATCTTGCAGGTCTGTCTTCCGGAGTTATCTGATGACCAGCTTTCAAGTGTGATCCGATCTGATTCGTGGGCGTATCAGCTACACGAATTGTCAAAAGAGCATCGCGCTCTCGTAGACAGATGGATCACCGCGCTCTTTGATAGCGACGGTATCTCGGATGAGCTGCTCAGGTGAGGACAGGGCTCGTCAAGGAGCGCGATATTCCGACTCGACTAACAAGGCTGCACGCCTTTCAGAGAGTCCCCACCTCGGACACTCTTACTTCTGGCTCCAACATTATTCGCCCAATCCATTGCCACATGTCGGAGTGGCCTGATCGACCTGGAACTGCTGAGGAACGGCCTCACTTACTTCCTCGAGGATCCTCTCAGCTACACTCTGCCCGGAGCGCTGCTTTGGCTTCTAGATGAGATCCAACGGACGCCTCTGATCGCCAAGAGCGAAAGAGGGCCTGAGACTTACGAACACAGCCGTGTGATTCTCATGGAGATCCTCGGCATGCTGCTCGACGCAGAAAAGTGCCCGGCAGCAGTACAGAGTCTTGTCGAAGGCGAGATGCTGGCATTCGGGTTGAGTTCTGAGTCTCAAACGTCTATGCAAGGCTGGTCTACCACTGTCGATACCAGTAACCTCAAGCACAAGCTCGTGGCTGGTTATACTGAACATGGTAAGTCTACACGGGTTTATGCTATGACCTCAAGTGAACGTTAACGGTCGGCCATTTGTCTGCAGCCTACCTACCCGCCAAGTTCGTCCTGCACAATCTGCTGCAACTGCCCGGCTCGGTCGATGTGCCTACACTATCGGGACTCTGGACAGCTATATGCGCTCCCAGCCGACTCAGTTGCTCGGCAGTCCTTGCAGAGTTAGCGAATACGCACTACTTCTTCCACAACACCGACTTGAAGGCCGCAGCGATGTGCTTGGTCGTGCTAGAACTCTCAGCACCGACTAGTGGCGATGGTCCGCTGGCGTTCTCTCTTGCGCGGCTGCCATCCGAGCAGATCAGCGCCGTGGGTATTGCCTGTACCTTTGCGGCGCTCAAGCTGCTCGCGGCCTCTGCGGATGAAGCACTCGCAGATCGGCTGGGCAACGTCCTTCTGCTCATCAGCCTGCACATCTGTCGACATCGCGCTCGAAAGGCGCTGGATCCCTCGCGACTCTCGGTGCTGAGCGAGAGCATTGATGACGCAGTGCTGCGACGTTTGCCAAAGTGGCAAGCCGTACACGATGCATTGGCTGCACCCGATGGGGCATTTGAAGGCCTGTAACGTTGTGAAGCGCAAGCAATCGTAATTGCTGTGGATTTGGGAGTGCGTCTATGCGTGCATGTACAATGGATGTGGTTATCACCCCACGAAACGGTGTCTTTCTCTCTTTGAAATCTTCGGGACAAAAACGTGCGAGTTTTGAAAAGCAAGTTTGATTTGCTCACTGCATTCTTCCATCGCTCCTTTACGCGCTCTCCAGCTGGAAGCCTTGGGACGCCTGTGGGACGCTGAGGATACGCAAGCTGTTGGTTGCACCTTGCCCCGCGCGCCAGCCCTGGAGCGCAATGACTGTATCGCCCTTCTCGATGATGTTGAGCTTGAGCGCCTCGGCGAGGCCGAACTTGATCCTGTTGTCCACGTCCTCCTGCCACTTGGAGTTGGAGTCCGGGCGAGCGTATGGGTAGTAGAATGGGTAGCAGCCCCGGTAGATGTGGACAGCGCGTGCGGTCTGCGGGTTGCGCGTGATCACGAGAATCGGGCAAGAGGGGCGGTATTTGCTGACGAGGCGTGCTGTGTTGCCCGAGGTGGACATGAGCATGATCGCACCTGCTTGCTGCTCCAGCGACGCAGAGACGGCGGCCATGGCGACCGTCTCGGATGTCTCAGTGGGAACGAGGGTGAGGGAGCGCATCTCGTTGAAGAGCGGCACGTATGAGACGGACTGCTCAGCGAGATAGGCGGTCTCGGCCATCATGTTGACCGCCTCGATCGGGTAGGCACCTTTGGCGGTCTCTCCGGAGAGCATGACACAGTCTGCACCATCGAGGACAGCGTTTGCAACGTCGCTCACCTCGGCACGCGTGGGGCGGTTGTTGACGACCATGCTCTCCAGCATTTGGGTCGCGCAGATGGACGGCTTACCGGCAATGTTGCACTTGGAGATCATCATCTTTTGGGCCATGAAGACCTGCGCTGCGGGGATCTCGATACCGAGGTCGCCACGTGCGACCATGATGCCGTCGGACTCCTTGAGAATCTCGTCAAAGTTGAGCACGCCCTGGTGGTTCTCAATCTTGGAGATGATCTTGATGTGGGCGCCCTTTTCGCCGAGGATGCTGCGGATGGTGCGAACGTCGGAGCCCCTGCGGATGAAGGAGGCAAAGATCATGTCGAGGTCCTGCTCGACGGCAAACTCGATGTCCTTCTTGTCCTTCTCCGAGATTGCTGGCAGGTCGACATCGGTGAGGGGCAGGTTGACACCCTTCTTGTTGGACAGCACGCCATTGTTGACGGCGCGGACCTTGACCATGTCGTCTCCCTCGATGGCGAGGACCTCGAGGGAGAGGATGCCATCGTCAACGTAAATTGTGCGACCGACCTCGACCTTCTTGGGGAGGTTCTTGTAGTCGATGTAGAGGAACTTGTCGCTGCATGCCTCTGCGTACTTTTCGTTCGTGGTCACGTAGAACTCGTGACCCATGCTGATCCTGACGTCCTCTCCGTTGACCATGACACCGGTGCGCATCTCTGGGCCCTTGGTGTCGAGTGCAATGGCGAGCGGCCTGCCACTAGACTGGGCGACGGCGGCCCGTGAGTTGTCGATGACGCTCTGGAAGTACTCGTGGCTGCCGTGCGATGCATTGAGACGGACTGCCATTCAGGGTTGCGTGAATGCATTGTCGAAGAGTCAGTACGAGACGATCAAGCGCTGGGATCGATATACAACGCAACGCACCAATGTTCATGCCAGCTTTGCGCAGCTTGCCAAGCATCTCTACGGAATTGGTTTTGGGGCCAATGGTCGCGATGATGGACCTGTGAAAGGGAAGCGCGCGGACGTGTAAGTTGTGCGGTCAGGATGATGATACCATCTGCCCCTTTGCCCATCCTTGCTCGTCCTTCCGATTGGTCCTACACTCACGTCTTTCGCAAGAACTTGTTAGAATTGTCGACGCCATGTTCGAGGGGGTTGAGGCTGGCAAGCCATTCGAGCTGGGTCTTTGCGATGGGTTGATAGAGCATGATGGGCGGTGATTGAGCTTTACGACGTCAGCTGGCAATGGTGTAAAGGTGCGCGCGACCAGTGCCTCCAAGATGTGCGGCGAAGAAGAAGACGGTGACGACAGGGAGGGTGGTTATAGTGGTGGTGAGAAACGTGCTGGACAGCTGCGAAAGGGAGGCCTGCCAAGTGTCGACGATGGAGCTATCTACCGATCAGCTGCGGTGGAGAAATTGTGCGAATAAGAAGACGATGCAAAAGGAAAATGTCCCAACACAACTTGTCTGTTGATGACGGCGCAGGAGATTTGTGAGCGACGTGGCGGTGCTGCCCTAACCTTCTCGTTCTTGGCGGCTCCACAGCAGGACGAACAACAAAACTTTGGCGGGCATGTGAGTGTGGCCTGTGCACTCTTTCCGCACCGGGCGGCACCTCGCCAGTCTTGCACGGCCCGGCCCAAGTTCGGCGCATGGCAACCGCGCTCGCCTACTTCTGTTCCTCTCTCTGAGGAGACGATCATGGTTTCTCCCGCTGCAGAAGAGGCTGGCTGCCCCAGCTTGCCCGCCACCGTAAACACATGTATTGCAATGCGTCGTAGCCATGACCGGGGGCCTGCCATCTGACAATGTCGGCTTCTGGTGGTGCTGCCGTCTTGTCCTTGAATGCGGGACTGATTACGGAGGCCTGCGTGGATGCGCTTGCAGCCCTGATGCCCGCGCTCTGACAAAAAGCAGCTCTGGTGGCGGGCCTCTGGGGAGAGTTGCACCGAATCAAAATGGTCCTCCGTTGCTTATGTACGCGAAAGGGCATGATTGTGCACTGCCGGATCCTGGAAAGAATTGTTGTCTCGTCGGGTTTCACCACCGCGGCTCGGACGATTGCAAATATGTGCGGGCCGTGCCTCGAGAGTCGAAAGAGGTATGGCGAACATGTCTTGCGACCAATGAGCGAGGGTGCATGTTTTCTGACGTGCCGATCTCTCACCGCAGGAGGGCTCTTCGTGTGTGGCAGCATGAATGCAACTTCATCGTTACTTCTGCGTGCTGCGCCATGCCTCACCGGCACCAACGTCGTGCACCCTGCCCCAGCAGCGTTGCTGCTCCTTCCGCGCCGATCCGTTTGCTGGTCCTATAAGCTGCCGACACGCTGCCTGGTTCCCTCGCTGTCGCCGCCGCCTGCTGCTGCATCTCCCTGTGGGCGCTGCTACTCCCAGGTGAGGCGCTTCGAATGCTCGCCCAGCCCTTCAGGAACAAGGGCGTTGCACCGAGATAGCCATAGTCTTCAAGCACTCTTTCGCAGAGCACTTGCCACGACAGTCGCGTCGCCGATCGCAAAGGCCGCTGACTCGGGGGACGTAGCAGAAGCACCACGCCTTTCTGGTCATGGCTCTGATGGTCAACAAGACTCATCTCACTCCACCATCACGCATCCCCATGTCGCATATCATCTGTTCGCCGTCGCCTGCCTTGTCTATGCCATCGTCATCGTCGGCGGTCTCACACGGCTTACCGAGAGCGGCTTGTCCATCACCGAATGGAACCCAGGGTTCAAGGGGATGTGGCTGCCTTCATCGCCAGAGGAGTGGGAACACGAATGGTCGAAATATCGCCAAACGCCGGAGTTCTTGCTGTCAGTTGTGAGATTCACATCCAAGCGTTGATCTATGGGAGCGGCCCGGCTCACGCAGCTCCCCCTTTGCTATTTCTTTTCCAAGACTGAACAAGAGCATGACGTTAGACGACTTTAAGAGTATCTACATGTGGGAATGGGCGCATCGGGTGCTAGGCAGAGTCATCGGTGTCGCCTTTGTCCTTCCTGCTGCCTTCTTCCTGACACGCCGATGGGTGGCAAAGGACACGCGCTGGAAGCTGCTCGCCATCGCAGGCGGCATCGGCTTTCAGGGCTTCCTTGGATGGTACATGGTCACGAGCGGCCTCGCACCTCCACCAGGCTCTGCTCCCGTCATCTCGACGGCTGACACGCATATAACGACTGCGCTCCCTCCGCAAAGCCCAGCGGACTGGACGCCACGAGTGAGCCAGTTTCGTCTAGCTGCGCATCTCGGAACGGCCTTCCTCGTGTATGCGGGCATGGTGCACACCGGACTTCTCGTCCTGCGCGACTACAGATTTACCGTTCAAAAAGGCACTGTCGGCGGCTTCAACATGGCCGTGCAAGGTGCTGCGGAGAAATACATTGCCGCGCTGCAACATCCGTTATTCCGACGTCATGCTCGCATCACAGCGGCAGTCACCCTTCTCAGCTTCATCACCATCCTCTCGGGTGCCATGGTCGCCGGGCTGGACGCCGGGCTTGTCTACAATGAATTCCCTGCAATGGGTGAAGGCAGGCTCGCACCGCCCTTTACGGAGCTCATGGATGATCGCTATTCCCAAAGGCCAGACAAGGGCGACAAGGTCTGGCGCAATCTGACGCAGAACCCAGTGACAGTGCAGCTCATACACAGGACACTCGCCATCACTACTCTGTGCTCTGTCATTGCCTTCGGCTGGAGAACGCGCAATCTCAGAGCCGCCTTCCAGCGCGCAACAGCAGGACAGATCCAGCTTCCCCCCGTCATTCCTCGCTTGGCCATGCTTGCTTCCGCTTGCGCAATAGGCCAGGCGACGCTGGGCATCATGACGCTCATCTACTTAGTTCCCATCCCACTAGCGTCCGCGCACCAGGGCGGCTCTTTGATCGTCTTGACTGTCCTCGTCTCGCTTCTAGCGGCTATGAAGAAGCCAAGTCAGGCGATGCAGCTTTGGAGGCAACAGCAGCAACTCGGGCGCGGGGCAAAATCGCTGTGTGACACGATCTAGTGAAAGTGTGACATATGTATGCTACATCCGCAACACGATCACAACTCATTAACAGTCTACAGGGCTCCAAGGGCTGCCTGACTCACCTGCTATGTGGAGACGCCGAAGTCGCTTAACTCACCCATCTCACATATAGCCTTGGCAAGACCGAGAATATAATTTTCGAGCTCGTAACGCTATTCACTTGGTGAATTTATCCAGCGGATTGGCGAGTAAGTCCGAGGAACGCTCTTGAACTGGTTCGGGCGGGAAAATGCTGCTTGTTGCATCAAATGCGCACGAGTCGCTCACTTGAACCTCATTGTGGCTTGCGGCATGAATCGTAGTTGCAAGCACACTCATCGTTGAAGTGCGTGGGCCTCTCAAACTCTTACACCATTCGCACTGAGTCCTCGATCGCGATCCGACGCGGCCAGCCGCGTTCCAACCATGTCCTGGTTTTGCACCTTTATGAACGTGACCTATCCGAAGGGCGCCCACGCTCCGCCAAGGATTGTGGCCGAGTACATTTCCGATTTCTACGCGCGCGGTACCTTCCGCGAATGCAACTTGAGCCTGGAGGACCACGAAATGATTGAACATTGCATCACATGGCGCTAACGAGCGCACGGAAGCACATCCTAGGAAATTGCATGACGTGTCGTCCAAACCCCGACGTGAAACGTGTTACAAAGCCAAGGCAAAGCAATGCCCCTCTGCGTAAAAGGTCTTGCCGAACGTGTGTTTGTGTGAAAACGAAGCCATTCGGGGAATTTTTGAGCACCATGAATGGTTGACAGACTGAATGGTTGAGAGTCTCACGGACTACCATCCGTCGTCATCCCTGCCGGCACGTGGAGGGGATTCACGGCGAGCCGGCGAGCGAGAGCGCTCGCGGGGACGCTCGTCACGACCGGAGGAACGGCTTCCACCTCCATAACGATCGCCGCCGTATCGGTCTCCAGCGCCGCCTCTGTAGCGATCGCTGCCTCCGTAACGCTCGCCTCCTCCATAACGGTCTCCACCTCCGTAGCGATCCCTACCACCGCCGCCGTAGCGATCACCACCTCCATACCTGTCACCTCCACCTCCACCGCGGCTGCCGCCGTCGTCACGACCCGTGTCTGCAGGCGCTGGATCGACGCGCACCTTGTTTCCACGAAGCTCGGCGCCATCGAGACCCTTGAGAGCGCGCTCGTAGTCATCAACGTTCTCGTACTCCAGGATACCCTCGTCGGGGCGCGAACGATCAACGTCGGTGAAGGTGACTGGTCCAAATTCACGTCCCATGTCCTTGATGTCTTGCCACGATGTGTTCGGTGGCAGGTTCGACATGATAATACGATGGCGACCGCGGCGGAGGCTCGGACGAGGGGCGCCATACCCGCCATAGCCATCTCCATATCCACCGCCGTAACCTCCAGCAGGGCCGCGCGGGGCAGCCCTTGCCTTGGCAGGTTCGACGATGAGTCTGTCGCCATTGAAGTCTTTGCCATTCAGAGCCTGTGGAGATAGTCAAAGCAAAGGAAAGGACTGAGGACATGGAAGTCCATGCCAAATTCTCAGATCTTCTCACCTGGCATGCATCCTCTGCCGCACGTGGGTCCTCAAGTTCAACGAACCCGAAGCCGGACATGACACGCATGTCAACAACGCGCTGAGCGAAGCGAGATGCGAGATCAGTCACGAACAACCATCCCACGCGTGAGGATGTATGCGCAGACTCACTCCGTAGGTTTTGAAGAGATCCTCCAATTCTTCGCGCCGCGTGTCCGGCGGCAGGCGGCCGACATACATGCGAGTGAACGACATATTGTTGCGGAGTCGAAAGCGTGCAGGCTTTTCTGAAAGATATCTCGCAGTTGCTAGGCGTTCGCACTCCAGATTTGCATCGGAAGGTGACCAAAGATGGAAAGATGGGATGAAGGAGGAACATAGCACACATCGGACATCCTGTAGAAGATGATGCATAGAGTTGGTGGGCATTGATGTGCTTCCCTCGCGGCTCTCTGCTCTGTCGTGTGAAGTTCCGACTTCCGTGCCGCAGTCCGCACATCATCCCAGTGGGAAAAGGCGAGTCACAACAATCGATTCTCCTCTCCTCTGGCAGGGGCCAGGCAATCGAATGAGAAAGCGAGTGGCTTTCGCTCCGCAGCTGCATCTTCTGGCCGTTCCTTGTACGCTGCTTTCGATGTTGGATAGCGACTGCACATTCGGCTAGTGGTTGCACTCGTGCTCTCTAATTGTCGACGCCCCAAACAGGGTTCGCATTTCCGGTCGTCAGGAAGGGAGAGCCCTCGTTGTAGTGCGGACTGCAACGACCAGCGGCTCGACCTTTTAGCGACGACTTGCTTGAAGTCTGTTCGCTTGACGTGGCTTCAGATGGTGATGCATTCGATCAACTGGGCTACTTCCTTGCTTCCTGATGTGCTCTATCGATGAATCGTGCGCTCTTTCAATCGGCAAGTTCACCTGTGATCGCCTTCTGAAATATACTTGTTTGCATGGCGTCTCACGGTAGCGAAGAAGCACTCAAAGAGCTCGAAATTTACGACTCTCTATAGCACTAACAGCATGCGTAGTCCCGGCGTCGTACGGGGTTGACATCTGGATCAACGACTGAGCCTTGGTCGATACCTGCGGCCTAGAGATACGGAACTCGTACGCAAACATTCACATTCAATATGACCCATGACGACAAGAATTCACGAGAACGCCTTGGCTTCTGACTTGCGTTGTCGATGTGTCTACCCACGCTGAAGCAAGAGATAGGTAGCTACTTTATAAGAATGACGCCGTCTTTATGAGGGCTGATGACCCCCTTCAGCCGAGGCTCTCAAACTAGCGTCTTGGCAGATCTGTGCTCAAGCACACCCAGCCATACACACTCCGCACAGTGCCTTGCACAAATCAATCGTTATGACTACGAACAGTTCCGAAAAGGGCTTTGACTACAAGACCTGCAACGTCCTCGTCGCCATTGAGCAGCAGTCGCCAGACATTGCCCAAGGTCTCGACCACGGCTCCCTCGAGGAGCATGGAGCGGGTGACCAGGGAATCATGTTCGGCTACGCGACGGACGAGACCCCAGAGCTCATGCCGATGACCCTCATGCTTGCCCACAAGCTTAACTCGGCCATGTCTGCCGCTCGCCGCGATGGCTCCCTCGGCTGGCTCCGTCCCGACTCGAAGACGCAGGTGACGATCGAGTACAAGAAGGATGGTGGTGCGATGGTCCCTCTCCGTGTGGACACTATTGTGATCTCGACCCAGCACGCCGAGGAGATCTCTACCGAGGACCTTCGCAAGGAGATCCTCGAGAAGATCGTCAAGAAGGTCATTCCCGCCAACATGCTGGACGACAAGACCGTCTACCACATCCAGCCATCGGGCCGCTTCGTGATCGGCGGTCCTCAAGGTGACGCCGGTGTGACTGGACGTAAGATCGTGAGTACTTCCTCTTTATAATATGGTCACCCTTGCTCGTGATGGCCTTTTCCTGACACATACTCTCTATGTCGCACTTTCCCCCCTTCCCTCTTTGCACAACGTTTTTGAATACTTCCATCCTCATCGTCACATAGATCGTGAGCATGACAGAGCGACAGGGTTGTCAATCAGCGACGGGTCATTGACACTACGTCTATTTCTCTCCTCTTTCCTCCTCGGTCGTGCAACATTGGTTCTCTCTCTTTCCACTGACCAGGTCGACACGTATGGCGGGTGGGGAGCACATGGTGGTGGCGCTTTTTCTGGTGCGAAACGGCGGTTCTCTGAATATCTCTATGCAATCTCCCACTGACTCTCTTCGCTCTTCGGTGCATGAACCGAGCAGGCAAGGACTTCTCCAAGGTCGATCGCTCTGCAGCATACACTGCGCGATGGGTTGCGAAGTCTCTCGTCGCCTCTGGCTTGGCCCGCCGCGTCCTTGTGCAGCTGTCGTACGCCATTGGGTGCGTCTCGTGTAGTTCCCCCACTTACGCGTTCAGCGAGTTGCTCATGGA